ACGTAAAATACTATTGGCTGGAATGTAGTACAAATGTTGTGTAACCGAAAATTTTTGGTGGTGCTCTTGGGGTAGTTGCATTTCGTGTATTTTTCACGTGATCGGTCACGATATTCCGGTATCACAATATAAAGGACGATCCGACTGGTTGGTCATGTGAGGTTAGGGAACTGCGGACCGAATAAAAAATAGTAGGTCTTACACCGCGGAGCCAGGGACCCGGGACATCATATGGAGGCCTCCACAGCAAAAGGTGATGGGCCAAAAAAAAAATTATTTTGCAAAGCTTTATTTTTGCAAAAATTTAGTCATTTAGAACACAATATTAAAAAACTACAGAAAAAATTTTTTTGGCCCATCACCACCTTTGCTGTGGAGCCCCCATATGATGGACTTAACGGAGCATGAGCTATTTCCACGAGTACGGTGATGAATATAGGGCCACACGCTGTCCGACGATCTCCTCTGAATGATAACTCTGGCCTTTAAAAAGATGTGACAGATCCTAAAGATGTCTAAGGACCTTCAGGATAGCAGAGGGAGGAGGAAAAAAAAAAACAGGGCTAAAATATTTATAGCAATAGAATTATTAATCTAATACTGATTCGTTTGCAACCATTGCTACAAGTGACGCTACCCACATGACCGCTGCCCTGGTCGTGTCCCTGTGATACATCTTTCGACACGATCTTTTATAGTCTTTGACCATCAATGATTATCAATTCATCAATCAGATTAAAAATAAATAAATACAGTAAATAAATAAATAAACAAGTACTATAATCATAAAAAGGTTAACATCAAGTCTTTTTTGAATACAGTACCATCAAAAATAAGCAATAATAGCGAAGGGTGAAATTTACTTTTTCTGGAATTACAAGGAAATCTTGGTAGACAATCTTTGCGCCATGATGGTATAAACTATAAAAGTTGCCATAATCTAATCTATACCACGGTAAAAAGTGATGTAATTTAATCTTTCATATATAGAAACTAAAAGCATAAATCTTAAATATTAAGCAATATTATTTGCGATAAATCCTTTTATTTAATATTGACAATAATCATTGTATTATGATAAAGTCTAGGTCTACTCTAGTAGGTATGATTTAAGAGTAATATCGTTCTGACAAAAATCGTATGTAAATTGGTTTTCTATTCAATTATATTATAGAAATGTTTCTTTTAAAAAAATAATTGTTTATTTTTAGCGATTAGATTATTTTATCGGATTTGATGGTCACGTAATCGGAATTAGTTACATTACAGCGGAGTAAAATCACCATATTTTATCACCAGATGTCAATGTGACTTGTTTGTTCACCCAATAAGTTGCGGTGGCTTGGATAATTGTTTGTACAATTTAATACTAGCCATTGTGCAGATTTAATACGCATTATCGTTATATCGTTAATGATTTTCATTAGAGATTGTGGAGGTAATGATTATTTCGTTAAATAAACGTGAAACAAATTTTTGGGATTTCACTGGTGCGTACGTATGTGCGTACATATGTATGTAACGTTTAATTGTCAGAATTATATTATAATTGACAATAACGATTCAATCATGTCGATTAAAAAATGGAAGGTTTTAAATATGAAACATAAGTAAGTTTAGAAGTTGCAAATATGAAGAAACAATGCCTGTTAAAACTTCTTGAACAATAAGCTTTTGGATGTTTAATAATAGGGCATTAATAGATAGATTCCAGAGCAGCGTCTATTTGTTTCACAAACTAGTGCAAAATTAGTTGGATGGGTTATATTTGTGCTTATAGATAAATAATAAACAAAGTAAAATAGATAATTTGTATTTTGAGTATAAGAATACTTTGTTGCTCAAATGTAACAGCAATGGTAATTAAATTTGAAGAAAGACGATAATTAAGTTTATTACAATTTTCAAATTACTGTGACCAGCAAGTTCCAAATATCACACCGGGAATCAGAAATCTAAAATACATGATTGGCTAAAATTTATTTCCAACCAATTACAGATTTGCATTTATTTTAGATTTATGATTCCCAGTGTGATACGTGAAATGAGAAACGCAATAAAAAGACAATGATTACAACAGAAAAATTCATTTCATCAAGTTTCTTTCTTATATCAAGAAGTTTTCGTTTTTTTGTTTTACTCTGAGAATCGGTTATATACCATCACCTTTTATTATTAGGTCCGTTAGTTTTACTACAGGAAAAATTGCTACCCATTAATTATTATCACGCGTTCAATATTTTCTGCCACTAATTGTATAATGGCACAAAATACGATGTATTCATTAGTGAGTAGGGAAGTTGCAAAGAAAGAAATAGTATTAATAAAATATGAATCTCACCAACAACGACCGACTATAAGCTTAGTGGAAAACTTTGAGGGGGCCAATGACGAAAACATTAGGGAACTGATGCTAGAGCTTAAGTCAATTGAACATGAAAACGTGCTTAAGGTTTTTGGTCTTACATTTGGTAAGCATTTCAATTAATATGCAAGAAACCTTGGCTACATAAATTTGCACTTATGATAATCGATAAAAGGAATTAAAGATAGATAACGCTATGTTTATCATACAATATACGCTTATGATTACTCCCCATTTTCCCCTAGGAATAACAGATCAAGTTACATTATAATAGGGGAATAGCATAGTTTCCGTTCAAATTATATAAAATATCAAGCTATTAAGATTAAAAATCCATTTCATAGTGATTTGAAATTTGGAAACGGAGCAGCGAAATCTTATCCATTCATGTGGCATAATTTGAGGAGACAAAATTCCGTTATTAACATGTGGCATTTTACTTTTTTTTTTTATACAATAGATGAAAATAGCAGATGTTATTATGTTGTCCGCGAATATGCTAAAAATAGAGACTTACGGACTTATCTTTCGGGTTCTTCACTAGCATGGAATGATAAATATTCATTATCACTTCAAATAGTCAATGGTTTGAAATTTCTCCATGATAATGGAATTACTCATACAGAATTGGTAATATATTTCGCGTTTTTTTTTATAATGCATACATGCCGCCAAATGAAACATGATACATATAATAATGCCCACATTAAGAAGATTTTTATTTCAATCTAATGGTTTATATCATTTATTCCATTGGTCTTATTCGGTTCCGCGGCTATGGTGAGCCGATTTTAAGCAAGTTTTTTTAAAAGCTCAAAATTGGAACACAATTGCTGTGGAATCGATTAACATCATTAATTATTATGAGTAAGATTATAGACACTCTACTGTCATGTGTTGGTCTCCCTGATACAAAAAATTCGCTTATCTAAACGTTATCTTTAGAGCTTAGGTTTTAGATTTTAAGTATATATAAATACTCTACGTATATGTAAGATTACAAATTTTCTATTTTTAAACCAGTTTGTTTTATTTTCACATGCATAAACAACATAGGAAATGCCATTATTATACAGGTTTCTAATAAAAAAAACTGTATAACGATGCCTCCAAAATTTTTGTTGATCATATGACACCCTGGCGGTGTTAGTATTAGCCATTTTAGGTCATATATGTATCGGTATAATGAAATGGTCATATGCTAACACTGGACGGAGTTGCGGTGCGTATTCTCCGAATGATTTTAACACGTGACTTCAAAATGTCACTTACCGATAATCACTCATTAAGATGAATATTAAATCAGGGACACGCAAACAATTTAGATAATATTTATAAGATTTCCAAATTTGTATAAATAATTTCCCAAATTTTTTACGTGTCTTTGATATTAAATGAAAACGCTGTCAATAGTAAATGGGCGGATTAGTATTTTTTTTAAAAAATCAAATACTATAGCAATTCATATCTTGATTAATTTTATGGTTTCATTTGGCATTATTTACATTGAATATTGAATATTGTCGTGCTTGAAATTTGGCATCTGATTGAATCTACTGTTTAAGGTGTCTGAAGTTGCATCTTTCTAGAATTAGCTTAATTTTGATTAGATGCAACTTCAGTAGCAATTTCAGGCGTGATCAATATCAATAAAGTTCAATTAATACGTACTTATTTTATTTATTAAATTTTAGCATCCAAAAAACATTTTAATACATAATGGCATTCCCAAATTAACCAACATTTGGTTGCCTAAATTTAAAGCACCTACCAAATTCTCATTTATCCGATATTGTCCTCCTGAGATTTTATCATTACGCAACATTACTCCTAATAAAATGAAATTAGACATTTATAGATTAGGCGTACTTTTGTGGGAAATTTCAAGTAATGGTGTTGAACCTTTTAGTAAAGGTTATAAATGTTCTTCAACCCTTGCAATTGATGTTCAAAAAGGTATTCGAGAATTACCCATAAGTGGAACACCACCTAAATATATTGAGCTCTATAAAAAATGTTGGGACAATAATCCTGGTACAATATCATATTATAATTTCATATTATACTATATTTCTTTATTCATAATGTTTTATCTAACATAATATATAATTTTTTTATTAGATGAGCGACCTAATTGCGCATACATTCTTGATGAATTAAATGCACAAAGAATAGCTTTTAAATCCCATAGATATAGTGATCCTAATTCGAAATATGGGAAATTACAACAATTAAGAATAGAGTTTATTAATCTATTCAGCTTAAATAAAGGTAAAAATTATGTAAAATACGATTGTGTTCATGGAGAAGGCATTATTTTACGTGATGATGGAGAACTAAAGATACAAAAAGTCATCCGATCAACTCCAATTATTTATTATTCGAAAAAAAGTTCTGTGTTTTCCGATATTACTATGGATGTAGAACCAGAAAACGATTATATAAGAATCCATTTTCCAATTTGTACAGTTCAATATCAAAGTGAGGCAACAGATGAATTTATTCTTGACATCAAAAGTACAATGAGTATTTCAGATGAAAATAAGAAACAAGAGATATTAAAAAATAAATTAAATAGCTATGGTGATTATATAGTTACTGAAGCCATTCTTGGTGGCGCTATCACAATTAAAAATTGGTCCAAGATTGACAACGCAAGTAAATCTCGCTTAAAGTCATATATTCAATGGGGAATTGACTATGCGAAGGGCAAAAAATTAAATGTTTTTGAAAATGTATCACTTGATGGATTGCCTCCATTACCTTCGTATGAAGCTTCAGAACCTATGAAATGCGTTGGAGATTTGTACAATTGGCTTAATGACTTATATCGTTATAGAAATTTAGAAATAATCTCATATGAAAAGATTAAACCATCATACCAATCATTGCCAAATGATTTAATTCAGAAAATATATCAGTGTTCCAGCCTTCATTTAAGTAAATCCTACTCGTCATTGGTTCCTCAAATACCCTCTCAATACGATTGTAAAGATTTTTTGGAATGGATAAAATCACCACCATTGGAATTATACATGCGTGATTGGATACAGAATAATTTATTGCAGCATGGTGTACTTTTACAACGTTCTAAGCTTGGACATGGTACAAAACCTGCATTAAAATTTTTGAGGGAACCTGAAATAACTCAGATAAATAAAGTTACTATTTTAATATCACAACCCCAAACTCTTCAAGAAGCTTATTTATTAGAGAACGGTATTATTTTAAAAAATGACGAATTGGAGCTTGACAAAATCCCTTTTGCTGAATATGGTTCATCGCTTGATCGTCCTCTAGTGGATTTCAAAAATTCCGAATGTTCTGAGAAAGTTTATTGCCAAATAATTTTCCATGCCGTAAAGATTTCTTTTGACCCTTCAAGCATTAAATACTTAAAAGAATTTTCAGATACAGTGGACTCTGCTTTAGAAACTCATGACCCATTTAAAAATCTTTGTACCCTGTTTGGAAATGACTATGGACATTTATTACCAAGAACTTTTACTTTAGGTGGAGTTTTATCAAGGTCATTTAAGCCTCGTAATGACATAACAAATTTCACTCATGCACGACAGTTTGAATTTGAAGGAAATGATCCTGATGCGCCTCAAGAAATTGAAGAAATTTTAAAAATATGGAATGGCGAATCACAAGATATTGATACATCATTATTTCTTAATAATGATGGGGATATTATTCGTCGCAACAAAATTGGTGATTGGTGGAAAACTCTTTCTGATAGTCCTAGTAATTGGAAAGTTATATCCTCAGAAGATTGGATGCCATTATATAAAGTTTTAGATGATACAAATCAAAATATTGAAGCTATTTTAAATAATGAATATCATCTCGTTTTTAATGGAAAAGAATCATTACATAAAAATCAAACCACATTAATTATTAATTTTCCTGGACCAATTGAAAATAATTATTATATTTTTGGAAACGTTGTAAAAGAAAATAATGGTGTTTTGGAAATAATTCCAGAAACTACTATTCAATTTAGGTATCAGAATAAGAACGGATGTGCTGCATATATTCTCAAAAATCGTAAGGCAAGGTATGATCATTATTACAATTAATATCATTAATATAAATGATCTAAAATTTTCTAGCAATTATTTATCATGTTTTTGTTTTTTTTAAAGATTAAATTTAGACAATTTAAAAGTTCTTTGGTTCGTGCTTGCTAAACCAAACGGATATTACAGTAATAAGAACAGAAATGTTAGATTCGCCTACGGTGAACTTGACATTGATAATAGCCAATCTGAGATTACATTGAATAGTGAAAATATTTATTCAAATTGCGTTCTTATGACCTCATTTGTTCCAAAAACACCAAATGACACGACTATTTATAATATTGCACTCAAAGCTTGGACAGAAGCAACCATTGAATTAGAAGTTCAAAGAAAAGAACGAGATGATGATTTAAATCAGGCTGTTATAAAGAAGATTGGACTAATTGACTCTTCAGATGAAGATTCAAGTGACGATTCGGAAAGCACTATGGATATGCAAGAGCCTCATGAAAAGATAACTCTTCAATGGTGTATAATGTATGTGAACGAAAAAGAACCAATGAAAAGTGAAGATAAAGGAGAATACCCATGGAACTTATTTGGAATCATCCTTGATGAAAATTTTAGAAAAGGCTAATTTTAGTGTATTGCAATGAATCATCATTCGACAACATTACATTATAGTCATAGTAAAACACATGTTGAACATTAACTTATAAATAACATTTTAAAGCACTCAAAAGATACCATAATAAATTTTTTGAGGAACAATTATTATTATAACTAGTTACAGAACTCGATCAAATGGCATTAGTAAGGACTCTACAAAATTTTCATAATCAAATTTTCCGGGAGCAAATAATTGTCAATAAGTATTGACGAATTATTATAAATAATTGTTTCGTTAATATTTTAATTGAGTTTTGTAACATATTAGAATAATCAAACATTACCTTATAATTTACACTAATATGAACACTGATAATTTAGATATAATTTATAGATAACTATATCATAAATTAGCCAAATATAATATACATTTAAACTTTCATTCGTTGTATTGTCCATCCGTACAATTGATTCTCGGTATAGGAAACTTTTTTATATGAGAAATCTCGATGTAATTATAAGAAACTCCTGATATAAGAAAGATCTTGACTAGACCTGTGGTTTTTTATGTTAAGAATCAATTGTATAATATGTATTATCTTTTATTTTTTTTAAAGACAAGATCTTGTCTCGATTTTTATTAATAAATACATTATCTTATTACAACAAAAGAGTAGTTATCTCTGAAATAAACTGACACTTTTGCACAAATTTGAGTTTATAAAAATAAGTCTCAATAAATAACATAATCTTTACAATTTTTTTATACATTTCGATAGATATAATTAGCATAAATTCTGTATCGACAATTTAACTAATAATAAAGATTTTATAGGATTCTTACATTCGGTCATACATGCATAAATAAAATACAATGATTGATTATTAAGGATAGCGGTATTTAATATCTTTACTATCGCAAATTTCGATAGCTTTTAATTGACCAAGTCTGGCTGACTTTATTAGCCATTGCTCTCCTTCTTCTTTTTCTCTTTTGTTATCGCCAAACATCCAAATAACACCTAAATTATACATTGCAGTAGGATTATTGTTCTCTGCAGCTAATTTGAAGTAGCGTGTGGCTTCATTCTTATCCTTATCAACGCCAAGCCCATAATAAAGGCCAAAACCATATCTTAATTGTGCTTCAGGGTAGTTAGCATTGGCGGCTTTCTGGTAATACTTCATTGCGACTTGAGTATAGGTATCTTCTCCTTGAATAACATATTCGATATCTTCTTCATAAACCGTTCTTGATTTTAGAATATCTTGTTGTAGATAATATCCAATCCAGTAATCTGCAATAATGCTCCCTTTTCTAGAATGATTTACGAATGTTTTCCATGCTTCAAGTGTATTTCCATCTGGATAAGTGTGTTGTTTAATTGCATCATCTAATGACATCTGCGGTGGGAATCGTGGTTCAATCTCAAGATTCTCATCAAAATCTTCATTGTGATCGTCGAGGTAATCTCCGAACAAATCTAATGAGTATAGATTACTTTCACCAACTATAAATCCTCTTTCATCAGTATCAACTACACACCACCTAAGAACTATATTTTCTTGATAGGTTTGTTCTGCATCGGAATCATCTTGTTCATCGTCTGAACTTGTATCATCAAAACCATCATCATCCAAACCATCATCATCCATATTTTTTTTTGAATCATTAATAGAATTTAACTGTTCCTCCTTTATTTCAATATTAATTGTCGTTTTTGTCCAATTTCTGGGCTTAATATTATAAAAAACAGTATCTTTCCTTGAAACAATTGAGGTTATCAAAACACAGTTAGAGGTGAGTATTTTGCTTGCTAATTTCACCATATGTTGAGTATTATTAACGTTAAACTCTCCACAAATGACTTTAACGCCTCTATTTATGTTACTGCAGAATCCTTTCGGATTAGCGAGTACTAACCAGAGAAGTTTTATATCATCTTTTATCAAACTTTAAAGGTATTATTAAACAGATAGTTCATAATTAATAAACAGTTATTTTATAATAATGTAAAATATTACAATCATAAGTGCTTGGCACGTACCTTATATCACAATTTTTATATATATATGCAACACAGCCATTACTGTTAGGATAATCAAAACGAACAGAAACCTTACTAATTGCGTCCCAACTACCGTTAGCATTTTTCATTATAACAACTCCATAAATATAATATTTATCGTCGATCAATGATTCTGGAAACTTAATAATTGTTGTAGTTTGATCTTTACTTAAAGGTACTTCTCCATTACAAACAAGATGATACGTATCATCAAAGGTCTCTTCAATATTTTTGTGTGTTTTCTTCATAATTTTATATAATGGTGCCCAATCTTCATGGGCAACAACATTCCAATTACTACGCGTATCCTTATTCTCGAAGAGATCTTTTAACCAATCACCAAGTTTATTACGATAAATGATATCTCCACTATTATTAAGAAAAAATGATGTGTCCAAATGTTTAAATTCTTTGTTCCACTCTTTTAACTTTTTCTCAATTTCTCGAGGTGTTTGATCATCTATATCATATTCGAGAATAATCCTTTTTTGTGGTAAAATTATGCCAGTAGATTTATACTTTTTTGACAAAATCCCACCCAAAGTAAAAGTTCTTGATAATAAGTGACCATAATCATTTCCAAATAATTCACAAAGTTTTTTAAATGGCAGATTGTTTCGAAGTGCAGTATTTACTGCATATGAAAAATCTGGTAAAACCTTAATGTCTGAGAGATTAAACGAAATCTTCACCGCATTAAAAATAATTCGACAATAGATTGCCGTCGAAAGTTCATCTTTAGAATGTTTAAAATCTTCCAAAGGGCAATTAAGTGTCGAGCTATATTCGCCAAAGGGAATTTTATCGAGTTCTAATCCATCTTCTTCCTTTAAAATTATACCGTTCTCCAATAAGTAGGCTTCTTGGCGAGTTTGAGGTTGTTCTAATAAAACTGTGATTTTATTTATTACTGTAATTTCAGGCTCCTTTAAAAATTTAAAGGCAGCAAACTTTCCATGTCCAAGGCCTGAATGCTGTAGAATCACACCATGTTGTAATGCATTCTCATGAACCCAATCACCAAGATATAAGTTATGTGGTGGTTTGTCTATTATCCATTTCAAAATATCTTGTTTATCGTAGTCAGTAGGAATATTAGGGATTAGCGCGTTGCAGGGTTTTTCATTGGGTACAAACCCCATTTCTTTGAATATTTGATTTCTTAAATTATCAGGCAAAAGTTCATAGGATGGAATAATTTCTTCATACGATATAATTTCTGCAAAATTACAATCGTATACGCCTTTAAACCAAGTATACAAGTCTCCAAGAGTTCTCATATCGATTGAAGTCTCAAGTGGCGGTATTCTATTAAGCGGAACATCTTCAAAAATTTCCGAAACTTTCCCTTTACCGTAGAAAATTCCTCGTTGGATATAACACATTAAATATGATCTACTTTCAGCAGAAACTTTTGACCAATTCCTAATAGTAATAACACCACCAAGTGTAACTTTTGTAACCACGTAATTACCATAATCATTGAATGTCCTTTCCAGATTCTTTTTGATCTCTGAAGAATCTGAAGAATTAAGTGCATTTCTTACATTCTCAATAAATTCATTAGTAGCTTTACATGTATAGTTCACAGTTGCAACTGGTACATGGATTCGTGCGTCGTCATCTTTTGAATCCCTTGTTTTCTTTGGTTGAGTCATGAATAAACTTAACTTATTTAATTCCCACCAAGGAGAATTTTTACTTTTGGGAAGATATATAATTGGTGAGCTCATATACACCTTGTCTGTTTTTAGATTTCCATTATCATATAAAATAGATTTCTTCGCAGGAATAAAATCAAATCCATCAAGATTTCGACCTTTGTTCAACGCCAAATGATTAATGAATTCGACTTTAAGTTGAATTACTCTTTGTTCTTTTAACACATAATTATAATCCAATACACAATCAATATTTATATAAGGTCTAGGCATAGACTTCCGGGTATCAGATGAACCCTTGACATTATCCGCAACAAATGTATCCGAGAGGGAAATAATTTTTAATTTCTCGAGAATTATTGCGCAACTGGGTCGATTGCCTACAAAAAATTATTACGCTTTTAATTAATTCATATTAATTTCTAAGTATTACGAATAAAATAAATAAAATACCCGGATTATTGTCCCAACATTTTTCATAAAGTTCAATAAATTTAAGTGGTGTCCCTTTTATAGGTGATTCTCGTTTGCCATTAATAATTGCTAATTGACCGTCGTTTCGATTAAGAAAAGGTTCAATACCGTTACTGGAAATTTCCCACATTAATAAACCTAAACTATATATATTTGGTTTTGTTTTATCTTTAATATCTAATGATCGCAGAATTTCAGGAGGGTCATATTTAGAAAACGAAGATTCATTAGATGGACGGATTTGAGACATTCCGATATTGGTTAATTTAGGTATCTCTCCATGCATAACGATATTTTTCGGATTCTAAAAATAAAAGTCTTTAGATTCTAAATGTAGTAGATAACTGATAAATAATCTGAAAAACCTTTATTACCAGCTCTGAATGAACAACACCTTGATCATGAAGGAATTTCAAGCCATAAACAATTTGATTCGTTAATTTTAGTTTCTTATCCCATTCAAGAGGAGCACCCTTTGAATACATTTGATTAAGATAAACACGCAAGTCTATGGTTGCGTATTCACTAACGAAGAAATAACTAGTCCCATCTATTGTATAGACAAAAATATTTAAAAAGATTTAATATTTTTGTTATTTTATGTAGTGTCGCAAAATAGCTCTGAACAACGCGCAAACTACCATCACAATAAAATTAATAGTACTGAAATCAATTGCGAATATCTGATGAAAAGAAATTTTTTACTAAATAAAATTGCTAGTGGAAACTTTGAAGGAGAAAATTTCTAAACAATTACATTGATAGAATGAGATTTATAGATAAATTTTGCAGTATTAGGCGAGCATCAGTAGAACCAATTTACGACATAGTAATGCTATGCACACATTATTATATAATTTATTAATAATTAAATTGACATTCACCATATGTTAGGCCATGAACTTTTAGTATGTTATCGTGTACAAATTGTTTTAACTAAATCAATAAATATTAGTTAGTTTGTTTAGGAAGACATTTAAAAAGACATATATACCTCGACCATCAAACTTCCAACAGCCTTATCATCATATCCATCTAAATTTCTCAATAAACTTAAATTTACAAGTTCATTATTCAATAACTTAACATTTGTCATTCGCTCATCTTTAGAATCAACAAGTTCGCTTGGTGGCTGTCTAAACCTGTCATATTCTATCAATTTGATCTTTTTTTCACGAACTAATCTTTCTTCTACGAACTGATATATTTTTCGATGAGGCATGGCTGATATGACTGACGTAGGATAATAGACAATGGTCCAAAATTAAATATAAGATGATTATATTAACCATAATGTTACATAATTTCGTGTATTGTAAAACATTACACGTATGTTTTTGTTTGTATCATATGATTTTTTAAAAAACATTCTAATGAGAAGGGTATATTGGAATGAAAACAGATACTTTTGTGATGCTTAACTAATAAATTGAATAACAAATTATCCAAAAAAAGTTAAACTAAAAAGCAATTTCAAATGACTGGAATAAGTGCTACTTTGTAATGAATACGACAGGTTTTCTAGAAAATTGACCAAAATTATATCGGAAATTTGAATGCGTTTATGTGTGAGGTATGATCTACAAACAATAGGCTGCACAGTGCGTTAAAATTTATTTTTAAATTTATTTTCCCTCATTATTATTATTAAATGCTATCTCTCTCTTAAAGTAGTAAGAATACATCATCCGACTTTTATTTTCGTCTGAAAGATCGTCATCGAACATCTTTGGCGAGAACGGTATTCGTAGCCTAGCGGGCTTTTATTGTGACTGGCTTATTTTTGTTGATCATTTCGTGACATTTGCAATCAAAAATCGTTTAACGTTAAGATTTTATATGAAGCTAAATTGCAACAAATTATTTTATATAAGATTAAATTGGCCTTAATAAAACACTACTACGACATCTCGCAATTAAGAATCAAAGACCATAAGCCTAGTACAAACAAAATCCCATAAATCAAGAGCTTATTAAATACGTACACGGATTAATGCAATAAAAAAATAAAAGAAATAGAAGTACAAAAAATACAAATCAAAAACATATAAATCAATCTTAATCAAAATATTAGGTTTATTGACATAAAACTATTTGATCCTAATAACCTTAATCAACGTGGTATCACCTTCTAACCTCGAAATTTACAAACTTATACTTCATTACTTCGTGTCGCTAGGCTTGTTACTAAATTATTCACTACTTCGTATTGCTCGGCTTGTATCTAATTATTTCACTGAACTATATTACTGGCGGTACCTGTCTTGGAAAATAAAACATAATAAGAAATAATTACTAAACTTAATAGATTTGTATATTGTATTTATGACTTATTGGTAGCGATGGGCAAATCACAGTTTTTTAAATGTTTTTTAATTTTTCATGAATTATAAAAATATATATAAAGATAATCAGTAGAAATATAATTTCTTATTAAAATAATATATTTTAAATACATTTAGCATTCAAAATGATGCCAAATCGGTTTATTAACACCCATGTTATAATAATGTTGTTTAAAGAATGACTTAATAATGGTTATATTTATTATAACAAGGAATGGTAAGTAAAAATTACCAACGGCAAAAAAAATTTAATAAAGTATACGCATATAAAGTAGAAATGCAGACCGGGATAAAACAGCCACCCAAAAAGTTTCGAACATCACGTGAAAACATATCGAGACTAAAAATTCATGTAAAAAATCATTTTTCACCGATTTAAACCTTGTGATAATAAATAATACGGTTATTGAGTTATTATAAAATGATTAATTTATTACTTATCGTTTAAATTTTTTGTTTGTATTTTTTTGTTAAGCTACATGAATTTTTAGTGCTCAATATATTTTGTCACGTGACGTTCGAAACTTTTTTGGGTGGTGATTTTACCCCCGTCCTAGAAATTGCCCATTAATGTTAATGCAGGCCGGATGATATTTAATGCAGGCCATATGATATGCTAATGCAGGCCAAATAATCTCATATCAAAAATCCTGCGCGTGGCCCATCTCTACCTATTGGTTAAATTAAAGTGTTTAGACATACCTCTCATCTATACTTTACGGATTACCAAATTACTTTGACAGTTTATAAAGTAAGATGTGAAGTTTCTAATTTTTTGTTTTACTTCTCAGAATTCGTATTCGTGACTCGGAATTCAATCTTGTGACGGAAAATTGTTACTTTAATACAGTAATAAGACTTATGATAAGATGATCTACATAAATTAGCCAATCGGAATGAAAACCCGCTATGGTATAGATATTTTCGCGTTGTTTCACCCCTAAAGGTCGAGATCTAATAACTAGAATATAGGCAATATAAAAAAAAATTATTTAAGGCCACGCAAAGTTAATTTTCATTTTACATACACGCCGACCCATTTTTTCAAAGTTTCAAAAAAAGTTTTTTTTAAAGTCCAATTGTACCAATTATTCTATTTCTGCTATATCAATTTTATCCGATGTCACCCAATAGAGACCTTGACATCCCGGAATTCACTGGTAGAAAAAAACCCCAGAACTGACCCAATTTTCTGATTCCATGCTATGCAAGACGAACAATTAACTTTGTATGGCCTTATATATGAACATGAGTCTAATAATTTACAATAGATCAAACCAAAAAAAATCCGAACGACCGACCCAATTTTTCTGATTCCATGTTATGCAAAACAAAATTAACTTCGCGTGGCCTAATCTGAGAATCCGAGCCTGATCGGACTGATTTATGTTGATCTCTTCAATTTGATTAACCAATAAACTGGTGCCATCACAGAAAACAAACGCAAGCTATACTCCATTGCTTTACTCTAAAGTCCTCTAGCAATCTCAACTGACTTGGATAGTTAGTGTAATGAATTAATTTTATGATCTTATTCTTTTTTGGCATATTGATCGCCTATCGTGATTATTAAAGCCTCTGCATAAGGCAGTGTTCACATTGATATGAGGCCAACACGATAGCGTGGTGCCTCTGAAGGTCCCAAAATGTGTTCTTTTTCACATTGGCAAATGTATGAAAGGTGAAGTATTTATTTTAATAAACGAAAAAACTTTGTTCCCATTATAAAGTAACAGTAATAATGGTTTTCTCTCATTAAGTTCACATCATCATTAACCGTCTCTATAGAATACCATGCCCTATAGAAATCTTATATCATTCAACCCATATAGCTGCCGCAAAATTGATTTGACAGATTCTCGATTTTGATTGGCTAAGAGCGACGATAAAAATTTTGGCCAAAATTACTCAAAATTTTACTGATGAAATCACAGTCCACCTCTCTAGTATAACTGCCGAACCATTTATGTAACCATATTTTAATAATTCACGATGGTTAAATAGATACGCAACCATAACTGTATGTTAGTTTAGAATAAATTTGGTAATTCTATTAACAAAGTTATGAAAGCATTTTTTTATTTAAATATGCGAAATTCAAAATCGTAAAAACAACCGAATCAAGAAGATAAAAAAATATAGCAACCTAATTTTATTTACAGGTTTTTCTAAACTATTGAACTATTACGGCGTCTGAGGCGCGTAATTTATTCGTACACAATACCTTGCTGTTCAACAATGGATATCTGAATATAAAGATCTTAGATAATAAAATTTTTATATGATAACAGATGTGTAGTTTTAATTAGGGTTCTGCAAGTGCCAGGCACGGGCACTATTAATATATCAAACATCCCTCTAATAGAAAATAATATAATCTGTGCATGTTCATTCTGGATAATTGATTGTCGAGTATGCTGACTAATTCCAGCATTCTATAGCCAATCAATCTACTTTCAACAGGAAGAACTAATACTAATTTGGCTAGTGCTCAATGTGCTAAGTTTTTACTTGGTATATTTTACGGAACAAAGTATCTACACGATACAATGTTTTTACACATAAAAAAATATCAATTAATACATGTCACATTAGTATACAACAAGGAGATCTACACTATTTGACACAAAGAGTATTTTATTCAGTAAAATACAGAAATATTCAAATTAACATTATAATTTAAAGTATCGGAGGTCCGATACGATAAAATGAGTGACGAAAAGGGAAAACCTGTAAATCATTTCACTCATTGAGTGAGATTCACAGGTTTCCCTTTTCGTCACTCAAATATAAAATCAGTGGTAGCATCAAAGTCATAAGATCTACTAGTTACCTGCATTCGACCTAATTTGAATGGTGCAGCCGCAATCAAAAAAAGGAAATTTCAACAATGTTTACTCGGTTTAGAATAGCTGTTTGGCACGCTGGTGTGACGAAATACATGTGTGACTAATAGAGAGCATGATGAATAATGACGGATGATGCAGTATATAATCTGAGATTAATTTATCACATATTATTCCATGCCAAATCGAAGATGTCAACTATTCTAAACCTAATCTCTTGACTCCATTTTTTTCGAATTACTGAAACTAACGCTAATGCTAGATGAAAATTATAATATTTTTATAATTTTCACCGCTTATTAGGCTTTTTTAATTTAACTATATTCGATCATTGGTGGTGTAAAAACAGTCACTTGTGAATGTTTGTTGCACAGATTTCATTATTGAAATATATATTTCAATAACTATTCTACTGTAATTTGTTCTGGACCTTTTACTCATACTCCGTGGTTATGTCTTCTACCATTTATCAACATATTGAAAGATTAGTTCGCGAAAAAACAATTCATATAATAGAGTATGAATTCAAACAAGCACCAGGAAAGTATGCTGAAATTAAAGATGAATCTAAGCTGTATGTTAAAAAAGTATGGAATAAAGAGAAGATAGTAAATTTAAGCATATTGAAAGATTTTGAGATAGACGGTGATAGTGTCACGAGATTGATGGTCGAAGTAAGTATTAAAACATTTCTCAATTGCCGTCTAGAAATTACTAATGTCTATTCTCGTAGCTCGAATCGTTTGTACATGAAAATGTGCTGAGCGTTTACGGCCTAACTTACGGTTAGTTGATTTTTTAAACATTAATTATGAATATATGTAAACTTTTAATTAATATGTTAAATATGTATGTTAGATGGAAATCATTACTATTTTGTACGTGAGTGCGCAAACATGGACTTACAGACATATCTTAAAATGCGTTCAAATAGTACTCCACTGACATGGAGTGATAAATTACTATTAACAAATGGAATAGTTAATGGTTTAAAGTATCTTCATGATAAAGAGATTATCCATTCAGAATTGGTAAAAATTTAAAAGTCTAATGTTCTACTGTTTATTACATTCAACGTCTTACGCTGTTTAAATTTTTAGCATGCAAAGAATGTAGTTATGTACAATGATATTCCTAAAATAACCAATATTGGAATGCTTCAAGCCCGTGAGCCTCATGACTTTAAATATAGCCCTCCTGAGATTTTATTATCACAGTCGATCAACGATAAAAAAAAGCTAAACATTTATAGCCTCGGCATTTTGATGTGGGTGATTTCCAATGACGGTGTTGAGCCTTTCTCCCAAAGAAATAGTATTCAATTAGTGCAATTAGGAATTCAAATTATCAAGGGTGCTCGCGAATCACCCGTTAGTGGAACGCCACTTGGATTCGTTGAACTTTACAAGAAATGTTGGGATGAAAACCCTGGTTCTGTATTATTATGATTTGATTATTTATCAATGTGAAATTAATTATTATTGGCTAAATTAATCATGATTAATTTTTTCAGATGTTCGACCTTATTGCGCACAAATTATAGAAACTTTAAAAAATATATCACTCGAAAATCAAATTAAAAAAATTGAAAACACCACCGGTTCCCGGATATATGAGCCCAAACCTAGCAAGAAACCCACTCTTGATTTAGCTTGCGAATTGGATTATAAAGCCTTGATTAGACAGAGAGAATTGAGGATTGCGTTCATAAATCTTTTCGCTTTAAACCGAGGCAGGAATCCTAAAGAACTTGACTTTAGTCACGGTGTAGGAATTATATTACGTGATGATGGTAATCCAAAAATTCATAAAATTACATCAAGTTCTCCAGTAATTTACCTTCCGCTAAATCATGAATCACCTTGGACGGATTTAACGAACCTATTTGAAATTAAATGTGAGAATAAAATGGGTCCAAAATACGACGTTGTAAGAATCCATGTCCCAATTTCTACTGTGCAATATGAAGCTAAAGCCACAGACGAATTTATTCAAAATATTAGAAGTGCGCTTAATATATCAGGTGAAAATGAGAGACAAAAAGCACTAGAAAAGTGGTTTAAACATTACGGCAATTATGTTGTGAAAAGAGCCACGCTTGGAGGTGCTATTACAGTTAGAAATTGGTCAAAAGTTTCAGATGAAAGCAAATCATATTTAAAGAGTTACTTACAATGGGGAATTGACTATGGGAAGGGTGCTTCTGAAATTTTTGAAGATGTTCCACTTGATAGATTGCCTCAACTTGAGGCATCTGTTGAAATTGAAACTATTGGTGATTTATATAGCTGGTTCAAGAGTTTATATAATTTAAAATTCGCTGAAATTATATCGTATGAAGAATTCATCCCTTCTTATGAATTGTTGCCTCAAGACTTACAGCAACAATTATTTAAGCTTATTGGTTCTAGACCCACTGAAATATCTCGCAAACAGTTAATTCCGAATATCCCCTCTCAATATGATAAACAAGATATTTTAAAGTGGATAGTATTAAATCCACCACTAATCTTAAATCTTAGTGATTGGGTTCGTAATAATGAATTGCAATGTGGTGTAATTTTACAGCGTTCAAATCTAAATCATGGTAAAAAGGCAGCTTTTAAATTTTTGCAAAAGCCCGAAATAAGTGAGATAAATAAAGTCTCACTCGTATTTGAACAATCCCAAAACCTTCAATATGCCTATTTATTGGAGAATGGTATTACCTTAAAAAAAGACGATAGATTGGGATTAGGATTTGATAAAATCCCTTTTTCCGATAGTTCAATGCTTAATTATCCTTTGGCGGATTTTAAAAATACTATAAATCAACCTTCAAAGTCAATCTATTGCCAAATAATTGTGCGTATGGCAAAAATTTCATTTAATCTTGCTGACATCAAGCCTCTGCAAGAATTCACAAATACAGTCAATAACGTACTTCAAAGCAATGAACCATATAAGGGTCTTTGTAAGGTGTTTGGAGAAGACTATGGACATCTATTATCAAGAACTTTCACTTTAGGTGGAATTTTATCTAAAAAGTATGAGTCTTATACAGATACAATTTATCCACAAAGATTTGAATATGATATAAATGACCCTCGGACACCTGAAAAAATTGTAAAAAAGCTAGCTGAATGGAACAACGAATATCAGCATATAAATACATCATATTTTGTTAGTGAGAGTGGTGATTTAGTTCACCGTAACAATATTGATAAATGGTTTAAAGAACTGATAAACAGACGGAGTGATTGGAAAGTCGTTAATTCTGAAGATTGGGTGCCTCTGTATAAAATATTGAAAAAATCGCGTTTTGATATAGACGAAATTTTTTCTAAGTATCAAATTGTATTTAATGGTGAAGAATCATTGCAACAGGATGAACAGACTACAATAACCATTAAATTTCCTGGTTCACTTGTTGACGATAAATATCATTGCTTTGGGGCCATGGTAAAAAGAACCGAAAATGGTAGTTGGGTAAAAATTCCCGAATTGTTCGTTCGATTTAGTTATCCTAATAAAAACGGTTGTGTTGCAGATATATACGATAATGAGAAACGCAATATACGGTATCTATCTATATTCCATAATGCAATTTTTTAAAATTGATTAATACTGCATCTAACATTGATTTATCTACAAAAGTTTAAATAAAGCAGATAAAAAACTCCTCTGGTTTGTGCTTGCTGATCCAAAAGGATATTGCAGTAATAAGAACAGAAATGTTAAAGTAGCATATGGAGACATTAACATCATGAAGGCCCACTCTGAGGTTTTTTTGAAGAGCAAAAATCTCTCTTCGAACTGTGTTTTGATAACATCTGTTGTTTCTAAAAATGCTTTCGAAAATGGTGCGAACTTTTATAACATAAGACTTAAAGCTTGGACGAAAACTAAAATTGGTCTAGAATTAACGAAAGACCAAATTCAAGTAAATCAACAAAGTGTTGATGATGGATTTGATGACGAAAGTTCAGATAATGAAACGGATGATTGTGATTCAGACGAAATAGAACCACATACCCGAGAGAATGATACTCTTGAATGGTGCATTCTTTATACAGATGGGAAAATGATTAGTGAAGCTGATGAATCATCAAAATATCCGTGGTCATTATTTGGCGATAATCTCGATCCAGAGCTAGAAATTTTGGGTCAAGATGATATAGACCTTTATGAATCATTACCTCGGATATCTTTAGAAGATGCAATTGAACAACATGATAAGCCAAATGGAGATACACTTGAGGCATGGAAAACGTTCGTTTATCACGCTAGAGAAGGAAACCACATTGCAAAATTCTGGATAGGACATTACCTACAACATGACATCCTGATGGCATCATCTTTTAGAAGAAAATTTTATGAAGAAGTTGTTGACGAGTTTTCCGATGGAACGGATAACTATCTACTTGCTGCAATGAAATTATACAAACAATCCGCAGATGCCGGCTATCCTGAAGCCCAACTAAAATATGGGTTTGGCCTTTATAAGGGCACTGGCGTTAATCAAAATAAAAACGAGGCCATGAAATATTTTAAATTAGCTGCAAAGAATAATAATCCTACCGCAATGTATAATTTAGGAGTTAGTTTGATATTGAGCGGAAACGAAGAAGAAGGGAGAAAATGGATAATAGATGCAGCTAGGCTTGGTCAACCAAGAGCAATTGAATTTTGCAAGAATGAAGAAATTAATTACCAATGAATTCGGTTATTTCATTCAAATAAGATCAATATTTTTGACAGAAATTATACATTAATTTATTATATTCTCTCATAAAATGATTTATGAAACATTAATGTATTTGTATTATAATATGAAATAAATTTTAATTAAGGTTAATCTATAATCTAAATTATTATTGCTTGATCAGAACTTTATTTTAATATATATATATCGACGAAATAACATATGAGGATAGGTTCGCTATATCAAAACAGTACTAATACTAATTTACTAATATATATAACTATACTATTATAGGTAGAGATGGGCAAATCGCGGTTTTGCCAAAAATCCCGCGCAGGATTGGATCCCAAATTTGCGAATTTTTTAATTTTTTTGTATCTAATAAAAAACTACGCAGAAATTATTATTGAAAATCAAATTTCTTGTTCAAATTAGTTGTTTCTTATAAATCTTATTTAGTATAAATAAGGTAGCTTCATGATGTTGGCATACCAGAAACCAGGAACACAAGCAAATATAGTAGTTAACAAATAGTCCAAGTAACGTACAAAAGAGAACTGATCTAGCATCACATTAATATATTGTGAAGCATTTGATATACATTACCGGGCAGTTGACTTGTATTAGTTAATTAAACAAAAGTTTACAAGGCATCATATAATAAATTATCAGGTTATCCGAAAAATTATTTTGCTATTGCCTTTGATGATCATTGATCATAATTTAATCAACCCAATAATAATCCTATGAAAAAAAAGAAATACGTTAAATATCAGGTAAATAGACTAATTAATCTGTATCGGTTACCAATTTTTGAGTCTAAAATTCTTGCTTTTCTATCGTTAGTTATCGAAACTACGTTTGCATTTTTTGTTTTCAAATTATACTCTGTAATTACATATTCAAAAAGTTGATGAATAAATCATGCGGACCAATCAAACTTAAGATTTTGTGGACAAATCACGCTTCAAACAGCACATATGAGCTAATTTTTTTCGATTTATGTAGATCAGACCCCAAAAAATTGATTTAATTCCGGTCAAATTTGCAGATCATTTGGCCTAACGGTGATAGGCCAAATGATCTGCAAATTTGACCGGAATTAAATCAATTTTTTGGGGTCTGATCTACATAAATCGAAAAAATCAATATATTTATACACTCATTACATTCGTTCCTGGTATTAGAAATTAACCTAAATATGTTAATGCAGGCCAGATTTTATATTAATACCGGCCGGATGATATGTAATGCCGGTTATATGCTTTTTTTTTTCCTCTTTAACCGCCATAAGGCATACTTTATTTCATCATGTTTAGAATTACATCATTATAATTATACAGAAAAGAGAAAAGAAAGTTAATTATTTCTATATTTAATCTTTTTCATATATAAATATCATGTCATGTCTATCTTTAAATGTTGCAATAATTTCTCACATTCTCTGTTGTTGTTTTTAATTGTTTTTAATGATTTTAGTTTTTTATTGATTTTGTTTTTAAAAAGTAGCAATAGTGGCTTAGGTATTTGTTTTTTCTCTATTTAGCCAGTGTGTATCAGTTCCAAATTTCATAAACTGTGTTGATGTTTAGCCATAAGGCTGCATTTTGTCTATATGTCTGGATTATGTTTTTGGTAATGTATAGCTCTTCTATAGAATTAGGAATTTCTTCTTCGTTTGCATTCTTCAATAGACTATAGAAAGCTTTCTATATGATTTTACTAATTTTGTAATTGAAAACAAAATGCTTAAAGGTTTGTGGTACTTCAGAGCAGCTTAGACAATCTCTGTTCTCTGTTTGTATTATATGTTATAATCTGTATTTAAATAGTAGTGTTTTGTGTTAAAGTCTTTAACAAATATCCTTTCTCTTGTTAGCAATCTATTTTTTTTCTGTTTGTTACATATTTGTTTGGGTTGCTATTGAATGTATAGATTTTTGTCTTAGATATTCTATGTCTTTTTTAACAGAGTACTCATGTCCTCTAATTTTAGCTAGGTTTATATCTTCCAGTTTTCATGATCATATTTTTAGATTTGGAATGATAGATCTTTCTACATATTTCCAAGCAATTATGAAAGGTCTCTATTATTCTGGTCAGACTTTCATCTTTATTAATGTACTGTTTAGGATAGTCTTAATATTTATATTTCTTTTATTACAAAGATTTGAGTCTATTAAATCTCTTTCGATTTTAGGTCAGGTATTCTCATAAGTAAGGAGTTTTAGTTATATCATAATTAGTCTAGTTTCTAGCATGTTTCTTACTACTAAGGCATTCATTCTCCCATCTTTGAAAGTCTGCTAAAATATTGAGTATCTTGGGAGTATTTTGGATTTGTTTTTGATCATTTTCATAATTATGTTACTGATTTATGCTAACTGTTTTTTGTTTGGTGACAGTAGGTATGTTATATACTATATTTTAAATAACAATAATAAGTTTGTAATGAGAACTTTCCTTTTGAAGGAGAGATTGTATAAAGATATCTTTTCACTAAGCATTTTAAGCTTTATTATCATTTTTGTCTACATGTTTTTTTTTACTTTTTCTTAAATATCTATTTCATATCCTAGAACTTTAATTGTTTCATCCTTTTTTAATATCTTGAAATAAGATAGTTTCTGTATTTCAATTTTTATAGTACTATTTGTAAGGGAAATGATTATTGATTTTGATATATTAATCATTGCATTAAATGCATTTTCATAGATTTTTGCTATTTTAAAAAAAATTTGTAATGAGATTCCTATAGTAAGATCATCAATGTACATTGCTATTTTGAAATAATGGTTATTTATTCTGATTCCTTTGAGCTCTCTTTTGAGTATTTCTAAGAAAGACTTGAATGCTATTATGTAAAAAAGAAGGGAAAGCAGGTTTTTCTATCTAACTATACTTTCTATTTTAAAGAATTTTGATATTATATCATTGTCTGTTATATAGTCATTTTGTGATGTAAGAAGATTTTTTACTATTCTGATAAAGATATTACTGAAATTTATTTTCTCTAGAATGTGTATAAGAAAGATGTAATTGACTTTGTCAAATGCTTTTCTCTAGTCAAGAAAAGTATTCAGTAAGTCTATATTTGTGTGCTTTGTCTTCTCAGGATAGATATTTTGTCATGAATTGTGTCTATAATTAAGCACCCTGAGATGAAGTTTTGTTGGTGATTACTAATTATGTGATTGCAGATCAGATTTAATCTGTTTGCTATTATTTTCATAAAAATTTCGAGATCATAATTTATAAATAATATAAAATGCCAGTTTTAATTGTTTTCAAAGAATTTGACTTCTTGGAAATGAGTGTTATGATGTTTTTCTTCCAAGATTTGACATATTGCCTGTGTTTAACACTTCATTATATATTCTGTGCTGTATTAGATTAACTATCTCTTGTATTTCTTTATAAAATTCATATGTAAGACTATAAGAACCTAGAGATTTATAGTTTGAAAAGGTTTTTATGATCTCTGATATTTCTTTCAGTGTGATTTGTTTGATTAGCCTTAAATTTTGTTTTGCTTACATAACCAGAAGGCTCTCAATTAAGCTGTCTATATCTTCTATATTAACTGGTTCTGCTCTGTATATTTTCTTGTACTTGTTTCTAATATAATGCAGAATATCTCTCTGATTAGTGTTGTTTGGTTCTTCAGGCATTCTAATCTGAGTAGTAGCAGATTTTGTGTGATGAGTCATGTAACGTGCAAAGAAATATTTTGTTGATCTTTCACTATTTTCAATCTATTTAGCTTTGAATGTATCTGTCATTTTTCAGAGAATGTTAACAACTCATTTTGTAACTTTTCGATAATTGCTTTACTACTAACTGAAGATCTTCCTTTCTTGCATCTCTAGCAATTTCTGCGTTTAATTTTATGATCTTCTTATTAAGTTTATGAATTAGATTTTTTGATGCATGTGGAGGTTTGAAATCTCTAATTACTGATTGTATTTTACATTTCAAAAAGTCCCATTCGTTTACTGTTTTAGTTTCCTTAAGCTAGATGATTTTATTTTGAGATCATATTAAATCCCATGAGGACTCTAAAAAAATCCTGCATTACGTGCAGTTTTTGCATAATGAATACATCACAGACTTGGGTCTTTCAACATTTTCTGATATTAAACAAGATGGTAAAATTCATAGTGTTATGCCATATATTGTACCAGAAGTCTTAAGAAGTTAACAATTTATGCAAGCGGCTAACATATAATCATTATTATGACCAAGATATCTTCTAGCAAACAAAGGTTTGATGGCACCCCTTTTGATACTGATGTTTCTTCAAAAACTTGTTATATTCAGAATTTGGTGAAGGAACTTCAGAATTATGTGCAATTGGACAAGTGATGCATGGATTCTGATACAAATAAAAAGACTAATAGGTACCATTATCAACTCAGGAATCGATGGTTGGCTTGATAATATAGAACAGGATAATAATAATAAAATCAAAATGCCAGTTCATAATAGTTTATAAAATAATATCTAAAGTCGGATCATCGATTCATTCAAGTCATATGTATACACGCAAACTTATTAGCATAAACGATGCTTTAAATTTAAACACAGTAGTCAAAACACGTCAACTCAAAATTTGTACATTTCAGACTTAGATATTTCAAATTATGCTTATGCAAAAAATGAGTCTTACAAGAATTAAGATAATTATAAATATAAACGGTCAAGATTTTTATCATTTCATATTTAAGATTATTTTATAATTGAAGCAAAATTTTCATTAGCCAATAAGTTGTTTGTTTAAAATTCTTTATAATTTTCGAATTAGAGGCATAATAAAATATAAATGTATCTATAGAAAGATTTTATTCAATTAAAAGACTTAGCTTTGTGCTCCATAGTTTTGATAAATAAAAATATAAATTAATCATATTATTGAATTTTAATGTTAATATAAAAGTATACTTTTGGTATCTTACATTTGTTAACAAATAGTAAACCAAATGTATTACGATCAAGACAAATATTAGTTTAAAAAT